TATGTCAAATACATGTTAATGTCAATTTACATTTCTGACTTTTTGGGTCTTCTGTTTTTTAAAGGAAGTTCTAAAAAAAACATAGTACTGCACTCAATAAAAGAAATCAAGGGGTACAAATACCTTAGACTGCATACAGGATGGACATGAGCACTAATTATTTTGGCAATTCCTCTTGTCAGGAAATCCCATATGACAATTCTACCATCGTTACAACCCACAGCTAATAAGGTTCCCTGTCTGTTGAAGGCACAGGTAATGGCAATGCTGATGCAGTCCAAGGCTCCATCAAAATCCTACGAATGAATGACATACATGTACCTGTTATTTACATAATCACTTGAAGATAATTTTGTTTTTCTTTAAAGAATTTTATAATATCAACACCTTACAGATATTGAGATACTATTAGTTATCCAGGTTCATCAATGGTGTAAGGGGATTTCCCCTGGGTTTTATTCCATACATCCTGAGGGTGAAAGTCAAAGGGTGTTAATAAACCCGGGGGGTAAATCCCTGTACACCTTTGATTGGACCTGGATAAAGAATTTATTTCATATGTACCCATAAAAATTCTTTGTAAACATCAGAGTCTTATCACCTGTGCCTCAATCTATTAATAAGATAACTACAATGCATTGTGATGTCATATTTCGTTTTTATCATAGAGAGAGTACGCAGTGTGCCTTCACGTTTTCATTTACCCCGTACAGGGTACTGTTTTGGGAAGTTTCCATAGAGGATGAAAAAATTTGGGCATGTTTTTGCTGGCTCTGATTCCATAATTGATCAAAGAGTTAATTTTGGTGAGTAAAATTGAAGCAGATTCAGAGTTCAATGACATTACAAAAGAGAAGTTTATCTTTTTTATGATTTTTATATCCCTTGAAAACCATTTTTGCACTCAATTGCACAATGCATGTTATAAGGTCCAGTCCAAAGACTGTTTCTACCTATGTAGTTTATTAATAGCTAGGGAAAAGGATTTAAAAAGCTCCCCAAAAGTAGCTATTTTTACCTACTTTTTGTATTATCAATTTCGTCCCAAAAGGGAAATTTAAAAAGGGCCCAACATGGTAAATACCATTTTTTTTTATACAGTCACACTAATGATGAATACGACAAAATTTTGACCAAAAAAGGATTACTTCCTGAATGGGCAATTTTACATTACTTTCTATGCAAAATTGATAATAAACATAGTAACAAGGCCAAATTTTTGTCAAATCCATCATCAGTGTGACTGTATCAATAAATTCAGTGCTCACCATGTTGCGCTTTTTCCTGCGTTTGACCACAAAATGCAAGTAAAGCAGAAAGTAGGTAAAAATAGCTATTTTGGGGGTGGGGTTTTAAAATTTCCTTTAGAAATTTTTAATCCCCCCCGTAAAAATAGTTTTTGGACTGGACCTGGTTATCACACATGACAATAATATTTCATGAATTTATTACCCTACCCAATACTGTATTGCACTACCTGATTGTTTTTTTCTTAGTTAAAGTAATTCAGGGCCTAACTACAGAAAGCAAGACCTGTAAATAAGTAAACATACCTCTGGGTAGTTCTGCCCAAAAGATTCTAAAAAAAGAAACAAAACTGAATTAAATTTTTTAAATAATTAATTTATGAAAAATTTAAACAATCTTTAAAAAAGGTTCATGATTAACCACAGTCATGTCACTCAAAGTGAAACAATTAGTACCCATTGTTTAAGTCCTCTAAAAATTATCATAACCCCCTGATTTTAAAAAAGAGAGGCAATTCGAAATATCCCAAGTTATCTTTCATTTTCTGTAATCTGATGGTAGATAATTCTTATTATATAAGTCAATGCATCCAGTTGTCAAAAATATATATAATCTACAAAGATTATACCTAAAAGTTCCAAATTCATATCTTATAATTTCTGATTTTCCATTTGAAAAAGCATTTCTTTCAATCTTTCATTCGTTGGCTTTGTGTTTACATCTCGGGGACAAATATTTTGTTAACTGCATTTTCATTGGTTGGCCAAAATCTACTTTCATTTTTACCCCACTGGGCTTGTCGGGAGTTGTCGGAACATGCCCGGAAAAGACCGAGGAATGTTTTCTCTATTTTGTACGTTCATGTATTTATTGTTTTAAACAATTTATTTAATTATTTAAATCTGTGAAAAACAAAATCATTTATGATGAGAAAGTACATGTGGAAGCTGCAGGACAGTAGGTACAGTCAATATAGCCTATGTCAAATCCCTTTCTGCCTTAATTTTGGGTGACTGGAAAAACCCGAAACCCCCTTTTTTTGGAGAATCCCCATACAGGGGGGGGAAACCCCAATAAAGTGGTGGAAACCCCATAAAATTGAATGTAATGGGGTACTATAAGGCCTAAGGTGATGTTTAATTGAATGATATTGACATCCGTAAATTTTTATAGCCAATTTTACAGGACATACTAAAACAAGTCCCACGGGGAAAATAAGTCCCACATGAGTCCCACAGAAAAATAATGAGTCCCGATCGCTGAAGTCGTTTCGAGTAATCCGTGGAAAATATGATGAATTTTATCAATATGAATATCAAATTATGTATGAATATTATTTTTAAAAAAATTATTTGTAAGGAAACCTTAAGAATATAAAAGAAATATGAAATATTTATCATGTTGAAAGACATTACAGTGCAATGTTTAATTGAATTTTTTTAACTAATTTAACGTAGTCGATTAATCAAGAAATAAAGTCATTTTTATAAATTCCAATTATTTATAAAATGCAATTAAAGTTCATTTGAAGATGAATCTTTTAATGTAATTATTATAAACAAAGACATTAAGTGAAATTTTTAATTGAATGGTTTTTAAAGTAACAATTTAATTAGTCCATTAATCAAAGATTTTATGAATTTTTCACAATTCCAATCATTTATAACCTTCTGTAGCAGTTCTAACAACAGGAAAAAAAATGTTAAAAAACAGAATTTTTAATTAAGGTGTTTGTTTTAAATGTTTTCTAACAATGTTAATAATTAATTTTTAAATTCAGTATTCATTCATTATTATTTTCCAGTTGCTAATTTATGGTTTATCAAACATATGAGAAAGAGGTTTTTTTTTGGGGGGGAAGTATGTTGTTTTGTTTTTTTTTTGTTTTTTTGGTCTCTTTTTTTTGTTTTGTTTTGTTTTGTTTCCTAGGAAATTATACAGAAAAAAAATGTACTCATTGATATGAGAAAGCAACCTGTATCCATCACTAATTCATAATAGATATGAAATTGGAAGTGAAATTTATAGCTGCCAACAGTGATATATAATGTGCATGTTGCATATGTGAATCCTTTATGGTATCTTAAATTTTTTTAAAATTATTATTAAACTCTATGTTTTTCTTATAACAATTACCCCTGTGTGAATAAAACTGCAAAAATAAAAAGTCCAGCTAAGATAGATGTGTTTACATCCCTTAAAGATTCTTATGTTGTGAAGTTTAGACTGCATTAGAGAATTTTCAGATGCATGGTCTTGTATTCAGGTAACCTGGAAATATATTGATGAATATGATGAACTTGTGGAAAATTTAAATGTGTTCATCATTAAGTTATAACATTTGTTTTAATTCTGTTCAAGTCCTAAATTCTGTCGAAGATGGAAAGCACTTCTTATAATTATTAGACTGCAGTTTTAATTTGTTTATTTGTTTACAGTGCAAATTACAATTCTTATAGTGCACAATGTCACTATAATAAATAATAACTTTTTGAATTCGCTGACATTCAATAATGCAATTAAAAAAGGATTTCAGAACCTAAGTTATAAAAAACATGATAAAGTTTGGCTACTGAAGTCCGCGTCATATACAATTTGTTTATAAAAAAAAAACTTTTCTTTCAGCTAGATCAAATTAAATTCAACTTCTAAATTTTTAATTTTATTTTTGTACATATAATTCATGGTGAAAATCAAATTTATAAAATTCCAAGTTTATCAAATAAGATATTTTTTTTTTAAAAGTTACCACATCCAGAGTATCACTGGCTTTAATAATCTAAATTTTTATCTTTAATTACATGATGGATACTAACACATTTTTTAATAAAGAAATGGATAGATAACAGCTACACTCTGCATTGTATTTGTTCTACAAATTAATAAAAAAAAAATCTTCAATGGTTGTGCCTTTAATACTTTTATTTTGAATTTTTTCATACAATTCAAGACTTTTACAATACTGTTTATGCTGACTAAGTCTATTTTAAATCACAATTCTTTATTAATTTAATTTTCAAAGAATGTTTTTATTTATGAAATCAAATATAAAAAAATTTGATTAATGATTTCATTATTATGACCTTATTTGTCATACATAATAGGAGCTGAAATTTCAATAATTCTACATTAATTTAAATATTTTATTTGAATTCAAAATCTTATAACCTAGCCCCAGCCTTGTTCAAAAGTTATTGTAAATAGGTATACAAACAACAGGGGGATTGAAAGGTTTGAATAACATCCCCCAGGTGTTGTATACAGGTATACCAGGGACGTATCTCTACAGGACTCTGTGTATATACACAATAAACATGGGTGTCAGGAAAACTTACCAAGTTGTTGTTAAAATACATAAAACAACAGTAAAACTATTTTAGTTTGTAAGAAACAAAGTAATAATATACTAGAATAAAATAAAACATACTTTTACTTGTATTTAGCGTTAATATACGTTGGAAGAATATTTTCAAACGAAACTTAAAAATTCAAGTAAAACTGAAGAACAAATTAAATTCAGAAATAACATCATATTAATTTAACTTCCATAATATAAATTTATTGTCACAAATATTTTTTTTTTTTTTAGAAAGATAGATTAGCTTTCAGTAGTAATCAAGCATTGTCAACATAGTTCTTGGCCATTGTTTACATTTGAACAGAGTTATCGTTCTTGACTGTGGTCTGAAATCTTCAATCGATATATAAACATATAAAACATTTTATAAAAACTTTTTTTGATATATTCCATATAAATATAATATTCTTTTAAAATTACCCTTTATTATATGTATTTATTGGCCCTTTTGCTGTGGGACTCACGTAGGACTCATGTGGGACTTATTAAGAACCGTGGGACTTGTTTTAGTATCAGCGAATTTTACCTCAGTAATCGACGGAAATTTGGGCCATTCTTTACCGTACACCACGCCCGATCTAAATTCGAAGCGAGCTGTTTGTCAATATAATAAGATAATATTAAAATAATTCATAATAATTTCCACAATTATATTTGTTTTACAATGATAATAGTAAAATATTAATTATGTAATATTTGTTTTACAATGATAATAGTAAAATATTAATTATGTAATAAGTATTTAATAAAAAAAATGTAAGGACGTTAGCCATTAAGAAAATATGAATTTGTGTATTAATTATTATTCATATTATCCCAATGTTACCAGCTCTAGCCACGTGGAGGCCTCCTTTTTGTAGAGCCATAATTTTCAAAGCAACTTTAACAAAAAAAAAAAAAATAGTAAAGATAATTCATTACTTATTTGTTACAAAGAGAACAAAAAAATAAATAAAATTCAAAATATGAAAATACTGAATTTATTTTTTTTTAGAAAACAAATTCTGAATGTAGGGATATAAATTTGAAATTCAAAGGTTCAAAGCAACAATAATAATTAAAAATAAAAATTATATTTACTAATATGTTACAAAGAGAACAAAAAATAAATCAATGTCAAAGACCTTGGTGTCATTGATTTTAAAGACCCAAATTAGTTCAGTATGCATATACTAAGTATATAGTCTCTATTTCTCCTGGTTCTTAATTTATGGCAAATATTCAATAAAACTATTTTTAGCATATAGGTCACAGTTAAGGTCACCAGGTCATTGACCTGGGTGTAATTTGAAAGGACTTAATAAGTGGAATATGCATACCAAATATGAAGTCTCTATAGAGACCAATGATATATATATATATATATCATTGGTTCAAAAATTATCACATACGGCAAAGGTTAAAGTTTACAAACAGATTGGACAAAAACAATATGCACCCTAATCTATCAATCCGGGCACATAAAAAATGTGTGTATAAAAAATATTAATATGCCACTGTAAAAATGTCCAGCAACTATTGCATTAATTTTCAAATAACCTTATAATTAGCTGCCCATCACATATTCCCTAATGCCAATCAGTATAATTAAGAATTTTAAAGTCCGCGTTTCGAAAATATGTTGAAGTAATAACCTCCGCGAGGTCAAGAAATGTTGTTTGAAAGATAAAAGCCGAGGCGTCAAACAACATTTCGAGACCGAGGAGGTTATTCTGCATCATTCACGACAACAAGGACTTTATTTCTATTCTTCCATGTCTACTAAAAATCGCTAAAATACGGCTGTATCGTTTCCTCTATGGTTTTTAAATGGTTCTGAAAAAATGGTTTCGGAAAATTAAAAGATAGAGAAATGTAGAAAAAATGGTTTTGAATTGAAAAATGGAAAGAAAATGCTGAATGAATGGAGATAAAATGGAAAAATGCCATTTCTTTTTGCTATGGGTGTACTTTCCTGGATCCATAGTACCACAAATCATTTGCCTAAACAGACTTCCAGAGTTCAGAGGCCAATAATCAATCAGTCTTAAACCAAAAAACAAAACCAAAAATGTTTTTAAGATTGTATATTTATTATTTTTTCTAAGGAGGGTTAGTATCAGGCAGTATTCCTCCCCGCCAGACGGGTGCAGACCAGTGAATACTGTTTGGTGTTGTGTTAGGTTAGAACTTAGAATAGGGTTAGTATCAGGCAGTATTCCTCCCCCGCCAGACGGGTGCTGACCAGTGAATACTGTTTGGTGTTGTGTTAGGTTAGGTTAGGAATGTTATTGTTTTTTTAAATGTTGCTAATTAAATTATAAATTCCTTTCTCTAACATTTTTATTATGTTATTTTATTTCATGTATATTACTTTCATTTGGCTGTAATATTTTTATATATGAACAAAAGATTGACTAGGAATAATAATCCAGTATCTTTAAGTTTTTTAAAAATCTTTTTAAAGTTTTTTTTTTAATTTTTTATCTTTCGGTATCTTTCGGTCCTTTGGTTTTAATATTTTGTTTCAAAATTCAAATCATGACTCTACACTTAAGGAGGCCTCCACGTGGCTAGAGCTGGGAACATAAGGAAACTATGAATATTTTCAGTTATTACTAATTTAAAAGGTCTTTATTTATTAATTTGTCATGAATTATCAAAATTATCAAAATTCATATTTTCCTTATGTGTGTGCTAACGTCCTTAAAATGAAATTATGTAAAGCATAACTGTACAATTGAGAATAGTAAAGGTTCAATGTATATACACATGCCCTGCCAGAGGGGGTTGGTCAGATTAGCTGGGAACCCAGGTGTTTAAACAAAAGGTGTTTATTATCAAGTTGACCAAGTGTCATCAGCTGTGTATATAGTGCATGTACACACACAGGGGAATCTGTTATCCCAGTACAAAACAACAGAGCTAGCTGAGGTGTGAATAATATATTCTCACAATAATGTTACAATACCAACTGTACAAGGATTCACATATGCAACATGCACATTTTTATTATTTTTTTATCAGACTTTTTTATTTCATAGACCTGGATTCTAATAATTTCATTGTGATGGATACAGGTTGCAATTTCATATCTATATCAATGAGTATATTTTTTTCTATTACTTGCATAAAAAACAAAACAAAACAAAACAAAAAAAACAAACCAAAAAAACAAAAAAAAAACAAAACAACACACTCTTGTACATAAAAAAAACAGAACCAAAAACATTGAAAACAAAAAACTAGTAACTGGAAAATAATAATGAATTTCCCAATTTAAAAATTAATTATTAAACATAGAAGAAAACATTTAAACAAACACCTTAATTAAAAATTAAATAAATTACAAATTCATTCATTAGTTAATCTTAATTTAATTACATGTTATAAATGATTGGAATTGAGAAAAATTACTTTATTCCTTGATTAATGGACTAATTAAATTCATTAAAAAAAAACCATTCAATTAAAAATTTCACTGTAATGTCTTTCATTATAATAATTACATTAACAGATTCATTCATTTTTAATTTAATTTAATTAATTTATAAATAAAATTTATAAAAATGACTTTATTTCTTGATTAATGGACTAGTTAAATTCATTAAAAAAATTCAATTATAACATTGCACTGTAATGTCTTTCAACATGATAAATATTTCTATTTCTTTTATATTCTTAAGGTTTCCTTACAAATAATTTTTTTAAAAATAATATTCATACATAATTTGATATTCATATTGATCAAGATTACAGTAATTATTTCCACGGATTACTCGAAACGACATTCAGCGATCGCGAATTTAGATCGGGCGTGGTGTGGACTCATGTGGGACAAGATTTTCCCCGTGGGACTTGTTTTGAGTCCTGTAAAATTGGCTATAAAAATTTACGGATGTCAATATCATTCAATTAAACATCACCTTAGGCCTTATAGTACCCCATTACATTCAATTTTATGGGGTTTCCACCACTTTATTGGGGTTTCACCCCTCCTGTATGGGTATTCTCCAAAAATCGGGGGGTTTCGGGTTTTTCCAGTCACCCAAAATTAAGGCAGAAAGGGATTTGACATAGGCTATATTGACTGTACCTACTGTCCTGCAGCTTCCACATGTACTCTCTCATCATAAATGATTTTGTTTTTCACAGATTTAAATAATTAAATAAATTGTTTAAAACAATAAATACATGAACGTACAAAATAGAGAGACATTCCTCGGTCTTTTCCGTCATGTTCCGACAACTCCCGACAAGCCCAGTGGCGTAAAAATGAAAGTAGATTTTGGCCAACCAATGAAAATGCAGTTAACAAAATATTTGTGCCGCGAGATGTAAACACAAAGCCAACGAATGAAAGATTGAAAGAAATGCTTTTTCAAATGGAAAATCAGAAATTATAAGATATGAATTTGGAACTTTTAGGTATAATCTTTGTAGATTATATATATTTAGACAACTGGATGCATTGACTTATATAATAAGAATTATCTACCATCAGATTACAGAAAATGAAAGATAACTTGGTATATTTCGAATTGCCTCGTCAGTATTTTTTTAATATCAGGGTTGATTATGATAATTTTTAGAGGACTTAAACAATGGGTACTAATTGTTTCACTTTGAGTGACATGACTGTGGTTAATCATGAACCTTTTTTAAAGATTGTTTCCAATTCTTCAGTAAATTAATGATTGAGAATTTAATTCAGTTTTGTTTCTTTTTTTAGAATCTTTTGGGCAGAACTACCCAGAGGTATGTTTACTTATTTACAGGTCTTGCTTTCTGTAGTTAGGCCCTGAATTACTTTAACTAAGAAAAGAAACAATCAGGTAGTGCAATACAGTATTGGGTAGGGTAATAATTACATGAAATATTATTGTCATGTGTGATAACCAGGTCCAGTCCAAAGACTATTTCTACCTACGTAGCTATTAAAAGCTACGTAGGTATTTAAATCTACCCGAAAGTAGCTATTTTTACCTACTTTCTGCTTTACTTGCATTTTGTGGTCAAACGCAGGAACAGTGCAACATGGTGAGCACTGAATTTATTGATACAGTCACACTGATGATGGATTTGACAAAAATTTGGCCAAAAAATGATTACTATGTTTATTATCAATTTTGCATAGAAAGTAATGTAAAATTGCCCATTCAGGAAGTAATCCTTTTTTGGTCAAAATTTTGTCGTATTCATCATTAGTGTGACTGTATAAAAAAAATATGGTATTTACCATGTTGCGCCATTCAGTCCTTTGGCCACGAAATGTAGATAATACAAAAAGTAGGTAAAAATAGCTACTTTGGGTAGCTTTAAAATACCTACGTAGCTATTAATAGCTACATAGGTAGAAACAGTCTTTGGACTGGACCTGATAACATGCATTGTGCAATTGAGTGCAACAATGGTTTTCAAGGGATATAAAAATCATCAAAAAGATAAACTTCTCTTTTGTAATGTCATTGAACTCTGAATCTGCTTCAATTTGACTCACCAAAATTAACTCTTTGATCAATTATGGAATCAGAGCCAGCAAAATACATGCCAATTTTTACATCCTCTATGGAAACTTGCAACACAGTACCCTGTACGGGGTAAATGAAAACGTGAAGGCACACTGCGTACTCTCTCTATGATAAAAACGAAATATGACATCACAATGCATTGTAGTTATCTTATTAATAGATTGAGGCACAGGTGATAAGACTCTGATGTTTACAAAGAATTTTTATGGGTACATATGAAATAAATTCTTTATCCAGGTCCAATCAAAGGTGTACAGGGATTTACCCCGGGTTGTATTAACACCCTTCGACTTTCACCCTCAGGATGTATGGAATAAAACCCAGGGTAAATCCCCTTACACCATTGATCGAACCTGGATAACTAATAGTATCTCAATATCTGTAAGGTGTTGATATTATAAAATTCTTTAAAGAAAAACAAAATTATCTTCAAGTGATTATGTAAATAACAGGTACATGTATGTCATTCATTCGTAGGATTTTGATGGAGCCTTGGACTGCATCAGCATTGCCATTACCTGTGCCTTCAACAGACAGGGAACCTTATTAGCTGTGGGTTGTAACGATGGTAGAATTGTCATATGGGATTTCCTGACAAGAGGAATTGCCAAAATAATTAGTGCTCATGTCCATCCTGTATGCAGTCTAAGGTATTTGTACCCCTTGATTTCTTTTATTGAGTGCAGTACTATGTTTTCTGTAGAACTTCCTTGAAACACAGAAGACCCAAAAAGTCAGAAATGTAAATTGACATTAACATGTATTTGACATAGCAGTCAAACCCTGTTATGTCGAACTGGATGGGAAAAATCTTTGAGATATCCAAGAGATATGCTACCCACACATCAACTCACAAATTTGTATCTATGATACAGAACCCTTGTCATTCTCTAAATAATATTTAGCAAAGTTTTTTTTTTTAAATAATGTTCTTTGTAATTAATACATCATTTTAAAACCTTTGTTTATTGAATATTCCTTATTGCTATATTTGAAAATAGTATTCTGGTACATGTATTACATGTATGCTAATTAAAACAATATATCAGGAAGAAAATATTTGAAAAATTTTCTGCTACTGTTCTCTAGCTGGAGTCGGAATGGAAAGAAACTGTTAAGTGCGGCGACAGACAACACAGCGTCAATATGGGACGTGGTGTCAGCAGAGTGTGATAAAACATTCAGGTTTCCTTCCCCCATCCTGAAAGTGCAGTTTCATCCTCGTGATAGGTACTGTTGCTGATTGACTTACTAAATTATAATGGAAATATACATATAGTAGAAAAGTATACATACGTTTTTAGTTTTTCTAAATCTAGATTTGAGATTTGAAAGATAAATGAAATTTGCATCTCTTGGGGGCTTAGATTTCTTAATCCAAAATGATTTATTCAATTGTATTTCATTTCAAATGTCTATAATAATCATATTATAAATATTTATATTTTCTAAAACTTATTTTTCTTTCTCCAGTAAACAGTTTCTTGTGTGTCCAATGAAGCACCCTGCTGTACTAATGAACATCAGTGGAGAACACAGAGTTGTCCCTCTGGATGATGATGTAAGATTGTAGCCAAAGAAATCCATAGACTATCAAGGGAACATTTCATCATTTTCAGAAAAATAGAACTTGCAATGAATAATTTTAGGTTTCAAGCTGTTGCTTGGCATTCATAATTATGTGAAGATTAGATTGTTTATCTTTTTAAGATTGTGTAGCTTTCATTGAACATCTAGGGGTATGTTTTCTGTTTCAGTCTGAC